AAGAAAGAAAGAAAGAACACAGTGATGGGGCTGGGGTTGTAGCTCAATGGTAAAGCACTTACCTGGCATGTGTGAGGCACTGGGTTTGATTCTCAGTACCACATATAAATACATAAGTAAATAAATTATAAAGATCCATTGACAACTAATAACAAATTAAAAAGAAACAAAGAACACAGAGCAGGAGGAAAATGAAATAGAGAGTGGGTTTGGTGGTACAGCTAGCTCAATGGTACAGCACCTGCCTCACATGGTAAAGCGCTAGGTTCAGTCCTCAGCACCACTGAACATTTTAAAAGCCAAGGTGAATAAGGGAAGGAACATCACACGGAGGAAAGAATGGTCATCTGTGCCAGATGTTGCAGATGGCTCACGTCAGATAAGGACTGAAACAGACCCTTGACTATAGCAACATGGAGGATACCGGTGACCTTGCCAAAGGCTTCAATTCAGCATGGGATTGAGGTCAGGAGAGAATGAGAACATCTGTGAATGTGACGAGAATGAAAGTGAGAAAATGGAGAAAAAAGAACGTGCTGGAGCAGTGTCTTTAAGTGGGCAGGAAGGCCCGGGGCCCAGCACTGCCTTTGCTTGAGGCACCTCCAGTTCTTCCATGGTGACAGAAGGCAAGACAGCCCTATGGGCCAGGCTGCTGGTGGGAGGAGGCAGATGTCCTGAATGGAGCTTAGAGAATCAGAGTGTTTGTGTTTTTTCAGGAGCTACTTGTTAAGAGGAGGGGAGTGAGGAAGGGAAACTTCATCTCCTACTAGGCTTGGCCAGAGTTCCTCTGAAGGGGGCTCCCTATAAGAAGGAATAGTCAGAAAACACTTCTGGGGATGTGCTGTTCAATGTAGTAGCCACGAGCCACATGTGACTACTAGGCAATGGAAATGTGACTACTCCAGGTAGATTTGTGCTGTATGTGAAAAGTGTTAAATGAGATGTAAAATATTAATGATATTTAAAATGATAATATTTTGGATATAATAGGGCAAGTTACTGAAATTAATTTCACCTGTTTCACTTTTCAACGTGGCTAGTAGAAAATCTGAAGTTACTACGTGGCTGGCATTGTGTTTTTATTGTGCAACTTTGTTTCAAGAGGGAATTTCTCACAGGACGACCGTCAGAGGGGCTGCCAAATGCAGTGCAATACTGCCCTCTTGTGGCCAGCAGGGGGGAACAACTGAAAACGGACGGATAGAGGGAACACAGAAGTTCCTCCCTCAAGTTTACCCCTTCCTAGAAATTAAAAGCATACAGGTCCCCTTGTTCAATGATTCTTTCAAGCTGTGCCCCTACTCAAGGACCAAAAATCTCCTGTTCCCCAGCTCCCCAGGGCTAAACAACAAGCATCGCTTAAGACCTAAATAGCAATGAGACACTGAAGTACACTTAAAGCGGGAAAGAGGACTTCTGGGGAAGCGTGCTGGAGATTGACCCCGGGGCCTTGTGCTTGCTAAGCAAGTGCTCGACCACTGGGCCACATCCCTAACCCAGGAGTGCAGCAAAGGGAATGATGCCAGAAAGCCCCTAACTTCAGAATTTTTCTTTTTGTGGTTTTGAAAACTCCAGGACCCTTCCCTTCCCAATGGGATTTAGAAGGCCATAGGAATCAATGCACACACGCACCCTTCTCTCTCCTTCCACCATTCACTGCTTAAAAACGCTGGCTGAGCTAAGCTCATTTCTTTCTTTCCCCTTCCTTCCCCCTCTCCATTTACCTGTAAAAAACCTGCCAGGTCGTCAGTAGAGAACACATCCATCACCTCCATAGCCCCCGCACTGGCCTTGCTGACTACTGGAGTGAGCGGGCAGCTGTAAAGATTCCCAGCCCCAGCATTAGGTTGGTCAATTTCAAACCTGGTGCCCCACCCATCCCCGGGCTCCCAAGGGCTAGGGGTGCAAGTTCTGGCAAAGGGAAGGAACCACCCAAAGGCCAAGGTGCTTAGGAACTCGACTGCACCTCCAAGTTGGGTACATGGGGAATAAGGAGTGCCCGTGCCTGTTTCTCTGGCTAATAATGACTTTGTCCACTCCGAGGAAGTGAGCGGAGCGCAGGACAGCACCAAGATTCCGGGGATCCTGGAGCCCCTCAAGGACGAGGCACAGTTGCTGGTGGTCGTCGCCTGGGCTTACTTCCTCGGCTTCTCTGCAAGGCCGGGGCCGCAGCGGGCTCACCTCCATGCAGACGCCCTGATGCACCTGGTGGCGGCACAGGGCGTCCAGTTTCTGCCGCCTGGGCCGCAGAACTGGGATGTCCCGCGCCTCCGCTTCCCGGAGCAGCTCGGCCCGCTCTCCCTGTAGTCCAGCTCTGCCGGCTTGGAGCAGGAGCCGGGCCACTCGGCGGCGGGCGGCTCGCAGAGCCAGGAGACACGGGGACAAGCCAAACAGCAGCTCTAGCCGCGGGGTCGGCGCCAAGTCATCCAGCCTCAGGCGGCTTAGCTCCTCCCCGCCAGGCCGCACCCCACGGGAGAAATGACGGGCCACCAGACGTCCAGAGCAGTAACCGGTAGCGACCGTGAGGGTCGAGAGCAGCCCCATTGTGCGGGCCGTACCGGGAAGCCCCCAGCTGCGTCCTGGCGAGGAGTCACCGCCACGTGCAGGTGAAAAGGACCCAATGGCTGCTCTCAGGGACGAACAGACCACACTACCAGCTCGAGGACTCCCTGAGCTGAACCACACAGTGCCCGCCCCCCCCCCGCGGTTTCCACGTGGGTCCTCCGCTTCCGGGTTCCGGTAGCCCCACCCCCTGCCCCGCGACGCATTGCGCATGCCGGATCGCCAGGACGTGCCCACAGCGCTCTCTGCAGGGCTGGATGAGCCGAGAGCGCCACCCACAGCGGAGGGCTGGCGGACCCGCAGTGAGGCTGAGCCGGCTTTGCTGCTGTCCCCCCATAAGTCCCAAGAGCGCGGGAGGCCGGCGCGGGAGGCCACACACCAGCAAATAAGAATTCATGGAACGGGTTGGCCTTCCTCCTGTTCAACCAAGTCAGTCTTGATGCCTCTCTCCCCACATCCAGGCGCGTCCCATTTGGGGACTTTTCCCAGAGGCTTCTCCTTGTCAGACCTCATCACCAATTAATAGGACCCCAACCTTACTTCCCAAACCTTGGCCGCTTATTCTCTTCCCTAGTCATATCTCGGCCTCTCATGTCCCTGATGACTAGCCCAACTGATGCTCTTGACCTACAGGTAATAGCTGGACTCCTTTGCTCAAAGTTCAGATCCCTAGTGATCCAGGACACACCTCTTCTCTCTCTCTCTCTCTCTCTCTCACACACACACACACACACACACACACACACACAGGGCCTTTTTTTCCCTTCTCATTTATTTTAGTCTTGCCTTGTTGCCTCAAACTCATCTCCTCCTGCCTCAACTTTCCATATATTCATTCAGTCCCATCTTGCTCCTACACTGTTTTTTGATACCAGGGATTGAACCCAGGGGAGCTTTACCACTGAGCCACATCCTCAGCCCCTTTTATTTTTTGAGACAGGGGTCTCATTGAATTGCTCAGGGTCTTGCAAAATTGCTGAGGCTGGCCACCAATTTGCCATCTCCTGCCTCAGCCTCTGGACTTGCTGAGATCCCACTACATCAGTCCTGTTCTTAGTTTTTAGCGTGTTATTCACACAGCACTGCACACCCTGTTTGTCTTCTCTTTGTCTTTAGCAAACTCCTCTCCATTTTTAAAACCCAACCCAAACTTCTCCTGCTCCCTAAGGTAATCCACAGTCCAGAAGTGATGCCCCACATCCACCCATGTGAAAGAAATTCTGAGACACAAACCATTTGGATCACAGAGAAGGAAGAAGAATTGAAAGACATTCCTGAAGCTCAAGTTGGTTGTGATTTTTCTTTTTTAATTATCACAGTGAAATCTACTGGGAGCCAGGCCCTGGGATTCTGCTCCTATAGTCAGAGTAGAGAGATGGTCCCACTCGAAGCACAGAAACCTAGATTGGGCTGGAGAGCTGGAAAGGGGAAGGGACGGGGAAGGGGAAGCAGTGGGGCAGGGAGAGAAGGAAAGCTGGAGCCCTGGGTAACCATTCAAATGTAAGGTGAGGGCCTCTCTCTGCCACTCCAACCTTGAAGGACAGAGGTTGGGATGCAAGAAGATGGGGGAGCCCCCCTTTTGGCCATATCCCCTTTGCCAGTTCAAAGGGAAGCCTGAGGAGAGCAAAGGTGAAGGAGACCAAGGAGGAAACTCATAGCGTGTAACAGGAAAAGCAATGAGGGCCCCCACCTCCTCTCCCCAGCCCATTTTTCACATTTGCAGTGGAAATGATTTGACAAGATATTAAAACTTCAAACAAAAATTCTAGCCCTTGGGGTAGAGACAGAAAGTAGGATCCAGGGGTTCAGAAATCAACACCTAAAATCCAGAGGCAGGAGCCAAGCCATCAGGAGTAGGGAAGGAAGGAAGAGCTCCCACAGGACACTAGACCACCTGCTCTGTGGGCCTCATCTGGATGTCTCCAATCTGTGGAAGGCACAAGGCTTGAGGCAGCCAGGACACTCCCCACCCCTTAAAGCCTCCCTGCTCCCCTCCTGTGGGGATGGTTGGGCTCTTCCAGGGGGTGGACAGTCAAAGCCAAACTCACCTGGACATGTGGGGGGCTGCTGAGGACATAGATGACAGCCTCAGCCACATCCTCAGGTTTGAGACACTGAGAGTACCAGGGGAAAGGTTGAGACAAGGAGAGAACGGACCCAAGTTCTTTCCCACCACTGAGGTCCTCTCCAGCGTCCACGTTCCCACCCCAACCCTCCAGGAGGGGGTGACAAACTGGACCGAAGGGTGGAGACTGAGGCCAGGGTTCCCTGTCTTAACTTAGGGATTGGGTGCCTTTACCAGGCCCAGAGGGAAGCCCACCTTCATGACTTCATAGGTAGCAGCTGCTTTTTCAGGGTCCTTGTCATGGAGTCTGAAGGCAAACTGGGTCTCCACCACACCTGGAGAAATGCACTGGGCCAACAGAAGGGCCTAATCAGGGGGGGGAGCTTTTCAAGGCCTTGGGGAGGTTGGGAGGAAAGGATGGAGGTCACAGGGCCCCAACTGCCATGGTGATGGCAGCCCAGTGTCCAGCAAACACACACTCCCTCCAAAAGTGCCACCGTCAAAGATCACATGTTCCCTACCATGAACAGAGCCCTTCCTATATCTCAGCTAAATGACTGACAAAATGGCATTTCTTAAAGGCTCCTAAACATTAGGGGGAAAGAGGGAAGGAGAAAGAGGAGTGAAACTCCACATTTTACAAATAAGACTGAAGCTTAGAGAGATCCAGTGACTTGCCCAAGATAATGTAGCCTTCAAGGAAAGAGCCTAGAGTTGTGGCATCCAGCCATTGTGTACCTGGTTTCCCACAATCCCTGGCTTTCCCCTAGTTTCACTCAACCATGTTCTCCTCAAATCAGCCCTCTACGTCTTCAGTCTAAATCTGGTCACTGGTGAAATGAGGAATCTCAAGAGCTGAGCAAGGCCATGCAAGGAGCAACAGAGCCCAGGGGTTCTGTACCCAGTCCACTCCCACAGACTCAAAACACCCACCCTGACCATGAGCTTCTGGGCAGCATGTGACAGGAGGGCCTCTGCCCACCTCATCCCCACCAAGCCTAGGCCACAGCCTCACCGTGGCGCGAATGTGGGTCTGGGCCTCCCGAAGCTCTTGCCTCAATCCCTCAGTCAGCGCAGTGACGGTGTATTTGGTTGCACTATAGAAATGGGTCGCAGAGTTGGGTGGGACTCGGTGACCAGACATGCTGGGTGGAAAGAGGGAAGGAGAAAGAGGAGTGAAACTCCACAGAAACAGGCAGTGAATGCCCTCTGCCATCCTGGTCAACCCCATACCCAGAGGCCAATGGGGAAACATCTAAAGTGGAATTCTGTGGTCACCCCTATAGCCCACTGAATCTAACTTTTTTTTTTGGCAGGGGGTGCTAGGGATTGAACCCAGGGCACTTGACCACTGAGCCATATCCCCAGCCCTCTTTTGTATTTTATTTAGAGACAAGGTCTCACTGAGTTGTTTAGCATCTCGCCGTTGCTGAGGCTGGCTTTGAACTTGCAATCCTCCGGCATCAGCCTCCAGAGCCTCTGGGATTACAGGTGTGTGCCACCATGCCTGGATGAATCCTGGAATATCTCCAGAAGCAGGAATAGGCCATGTCACCATGGGGTTTCCCCAAAGGTTGAGCCTATGTAGTCTTTCTCTGTGCCACCTGCCACCTGTATAGGATATTCATCCTAGGACCTGAAGACAGGATGTGTGCAGTCCCAGGAGAGTTCCGGGGTTTGGCTGCAGAGGGAAGGAGCTAGACTGCCCATTCTGGCCAAGCAGGGACTAGCAGTTTCTCTCATTGGAATTGTACCTTCTGGATATTTTCCCACCAAGGAAACTGAAGTCCAAAGAAGTCAAGTGAGCAGCAGCAGATCACCCACCCTGGAGGGCAAGTGATGACTTGAGTTTTCCATGTAGGCCACCAGCCCTCACCTGTTGATGTTAATGATGTGCCCGTCATCCACATTCCGCTCCTTCATGGACTGGTAGGCTTCCCGTGTGCAGATGCTGAGAGCCAGCACGTTTACCTGTAGGCCAGGGAGGGCAGTGGGGTATCTCCAGATTGGGCCTGACAAAGCAGGTGACTGAACCAGAGGCCAGTGGCAGGCCAAGGGCACCCTGTTTTCTCCATAGGTTCCCCTCCACTAAAAGCTGCCCCCCACCAGACGATGGCAGAGGTAGCTCCTCTTGGAGCTATGTAAATCCGCAAATGTAAATCCCTCAAACCCATCCAGACCTGGGAGACCATTTTGGCTATCCCTGCTGTACGAGAAAGACCCTGCCTTAATAATCATTTCCTTTTCTTCCCCTAAATAGCCAACCTTCTTAGGGACAGTGTCCCTGTCCCTGCTCCTTCCCCAACCAACTGAAAACCTTCCTAAAATGTCTTTAAAATCTCTTTCTCCAAGAAGGCACCCCAGCCTTTCCTGCCATCCACAGCCATCTTCCTCCCTTGAGACCACAAGTGTCAAGGAGAGGCCTGCCTTTTATACCTGTCTTTAACCTGGGTCCCATCCCAGAGCCCAGGTGCAGACTCTTCAGAGGGTGGGGTCACTGCCACTCCTGCTCTCTATGGCAGAGGTGACCCCAAGTCCCCACTTTCATGGAGCAGAGGTCTAAAGCAGTGTCTACTGTAGAGCACCTGCCTGACTCCACCCTTTAGCTTCACCCCCAGGACAAGCAGAGTTTTCAAAAATTCCTCACACCTCCCCTCTTGCACAGAAAGGGAACAGCTGACAGATTTCTTTATCGGGTATCTGAGTCAAAAATCAGGACAGACCACCTTTAGTGTGGACCCACCTCGGTGCTTAGGGCAACAGCAGGAGCTGGAAGCAGGAAAAGCAGCCTTGTTTCTGCCCTTCCTATAAGTGTGGGGTTGTGGTTTAGATGGAGAAGGAAAAATGGATTCCCAGGGACCATGTGAGGAAATCTCCCAGGTCTTTGGGTTTTGGGGCTGGGGAGAGAAGATGCTTTCTAGGATGATCCTAGTAAACTTAGGCAATCTTCAAGTTGAAAGGGACCTTTGGGACTTAATAAGTCCCTTCTTTAACAGATGGGCAAGTTGAGGTCAAGGTTTAGAGACCCACTTGCTGCAGGTAAGAGCCATGACCATGATCTCCCGGAAGACTCTGAGAACAGGGCTTCATTTTTATTGTTCATTCCTTCATTTCCAGATCCAAGCATCTACTAGATACTAAACCTATTGATACCAGACGTGGAAAGGATTGTGGGGGAAAGAAGCATCCTGTTTAGACATTGCTTTCAACTTCTCCAAACACTGTCATATTCTAATGTCATCCCATAACATCACTCTTACTACATAGATATCCTATCCCCAACAGCCCTCCAGCTCATAGGCCCCTGGCTCTGGCTCTCCTCCCTACCCAGACCCCAGGCCTGGACCCCTTACGTTGAACATGTTCTTCCAACCGCTGGTGCTGCCTGAGAGCAGGGTGTCAGGCCGGGCCAGGCCAGCATTGTTGATGCAGATGTCCACACCACCATGCTGAGAGCGCACAGCTGAGAACATGGAGAGGATGTCCTCCTCATTTGACAGGTCACATCTGTAGGGGATCAAAGTCCCGGGGTAGCCTGCACTCTTACATTCAGCAGCCAGCTCCTATGAAACCCAACAGGGGTCTCACTGGGGTGAGCTGCACATTCCCATACCTCCCCACCTGGAGTTGTACCTCCCTCCTTGTCACCACTCATAGGACTCTGTCCTTTGGCAGCCACCTTTTGGCCACATAGATAGGCTGCCCATCCCCCAAAGCTTGTCCTCCTTGGTCAAAGTCCAGGGGGTGAGGGCACTCCCTGAGTGAGGGAGGGGGAAAGTTGAGTGGATCATCAGAAGAAGGAACCTCACGTATAAACTCAAGTTTTCAATTCTAAGGAGGAAGAAGCAAGGCAGGGATCCTAGGAATGGGGTGGGGAGTCCTCTTTTCAGCCTCTTCACAAGAATACCTCCTCTGCCCGAAAGTAGGATGCACCTTTTGCCCTACTTCATGCTTCTTCCACAAGTCACTGAGCTGGCTACTCCAAGGTGTCAGTTCTCTCCTCCCCACTGATATCAATCGATCCCTCACAGAAAGGCTCACCTCCGAACCATTACCCTCCCTTGCAGTCAGTTTGGCAAAATTCAAAGGTGTGTTCTCACACCTACACCTTCCATTGAAGCCCAGCTGCCCACCTCCTCTTTCCCTCTACCTCCAGAAGGGGTCAGGATGTCAGGACAGATTGTTTATTCCTCTAACCCCTAGTACACCTCCCTCTACCCCCAAGTTTCCCTGGAGATTATGAGGCAAGTAGGTGGCAGGTGGTAGGTGGCAGGTGACACAGGGCACCCTCTACGCAACTCCAGAGGAAATACCTGAGAAAGCAAAGCCAGTGAAAGACAGCTGTGAGGAAGCTGGTATTCAGAAGAAAGAAGAAAACAGGCTTCATGGCCTAGAAGGCATTTGAGATTTGTGAAGGTGACATGTGGTGGGGGTAGTGGGTACCTAGAGGAAGGCCAGCTTGGCCAGCTGTCTTAGCCTGGAGCCCCTTCCTCCTCCCAAACCAAACTAGGAATAAAGGGTTGAATCAAGTGACTGGAGAAATTCATTTCTGCTCTTTCTGTGAGTCTTCTGGGACTCAAACACCCTCTCTGCCTGATTTTACTGCTCAGAACCACCTCAGGAAATAGAGTTTCTCTTTGAAGAAAGCCAGAACCCAAAGTCTGCTCTGATATCCATGAATTAACCAATCAATAAAAGCAGACTATGGGTAAGAAAGCCTGGAATTTGGGGATCCTCTTTAGAAAAGTTTCCACACCAACCCCAAACCTCAGTCCTGGGTCAAACATTCAAAACCTCTAGCTCCTGCTCAGCAGAGGACCAAAGGAAGCCAACCTGCCCCAGCACACAACGTCCCCCTTTTTTCAGGGGCTGAGAACTGATTTCTCTATTGCTGTCTTCTCACTGCGCCTCCTTCACCTACTCTCAAAACCAAACTGAAACCCCTCACAGCAGGAGCATACTCCAGTCATGATAGTCATTCTTGGAGGTGCATGATCAACCTGGGGATCCTCTTGGGATTCAGGGTTCCCCTTTCCTGGCTAGCTTGGGATATATAAGAAAGCAAGAGTGGCTTCAGAATTAGGGGATTCTGTTCAATCCCTGATCTGATCCTCTAGGTTCCAAAGCTAGGGCTGGGCCCTGAGCTTATTCTAAGAAAAGAAAGGGAGAGGCAGAGTGGGGCAATGATGGAGCCAGGTGACCTTAGGATTATCTGGGAGGTTATAAAAAGTACCTTTGATCAGCAGCAGGGGAGGGAACCTTCCTTCCTGTATACCTTCTCCCTCTGTCCCCACCCAAGGCCTCCTGATCTTTTCTCTACCTGGAGACTTTTGAGCAATGGTGGAGATAGTGTCCTACAACTAAGCACTAGTCCACGCCTTGAGAGTGGTCTTGCCAGGGCAAATCCAGATAACCTATAATGGAAATTTCTCCTCTCCTTCCTCCCTGCCCCAAAATAGTCAAGTTCATTTCCTTTCTGAGCCCTTGTCACTCATAACTCTGGGGGTTTCCAATCCCATGTTAAGAGAAAAACCAGAAGTTTTGCTGGATCCACATTGTTTTATCCCCTCAAAGTTTACATGTTTGACACCCTGTTTCATCTACTCAGTCCCACCTGGGGAACTTAACTGGAGAAAAGTGTACCAGTAAATATTGCATTCATCCCTCTTGCCTGTGGGGCATGGGTTAACCTTCAGACTTGGGGGAGGTAGAGCTTTCTTAGAAGAGACCCCACCCTAATCCTCCTCAGTCCTAGATCAAACTTTCAAAATCTCCAGCCCCTGTTCTTCTGGCCAGCACTTTGCCTGGTGTGAAGGGTGAGGTCTGGAGACCAGAAGCCAACCAGCCACTAAGGTTAGAAAGCTTGCTATTTTTCGGCCTGCCTACCTAGCCCCTGACCTCAGGCTTCCCCTTCCCTCAGGCCAATATTCTGGGCCGGAGGGTGCCCAGGAGGGGATAGCAGAAGAGAATGCCACGGGTGGCTCAGACTCGGTACAATGGAGCAGGGGGTTGTTAGGAGTAACTGGCTCCTTTAAAGACCGGACTTAGAAGGTAGAAGCCTCCCATTAGGGATCTGAGAGACCTATTCTACCAGGCAACTCCTGCTCCCAAGCCTGTTGCAAAAGGTCCCGGGATTTCAGGCAAGTGAGGATAGGGTCATACCAGGCTCCGGCTACTCCTCCTCACCAACCCGGAGTCCTACCCCGTGGAAACGATGTCCTCCAGAGTCTCCGCTCTCTGGCAGGCCTTACCTCAATGTTGCCCACGGTGCGGGCACAACCCACCACCTTCAATCCCTGCTGGACCAAGGCCCGGGCTACCGCTGCGCCGATGCCCCCAGAGGCTCCGGTCACCAGGGCCAGCCGGCCGCGCCACCGCTCCATGCCGGCTCTGGCCATAATCCCTAGCTTCCCGCCCACCTCGCTCGGCGAACAGGGCACTAGAATCTCTGAGCTTAGTCCCGCGTCGCCAAGGCTCTGCCACTCTTCCGTTATTGCGGCGGTAGCCGCGGCCAAGCTGCGGGCGTCGGTGCCACACTTCGACCCACCCCCAAGCGGGCCGGCCTCGGGCCAGGACTCCGCCCTCCAGTCCTCAGCTCCCGGCCACATCCTGCCGGAGGTCGGCCGAGGCCTGGTCGCCCCGCCCTTCCTGTCCCGCCCCCTCCGCGGCTCCCGGAAACTGTACGTTCCGCGGTGCGGGTGGGCGCGGGAGGGTCCTGTTTCCAGGGTGAGCTTTACCCCCTTGCGTCAGGAAAACTTAAGCCCAACGGAGAATTTCTCTAGACCAGAGGACACATACATACATAGCCTCTTGTTCAGTCTTCTTTCCCTGCTCCTGACCCTGGGAAAGCCAAAATGAGGCTATAAGAGCGCTTGAGGTGACTCCAGCACCCTTCCCAACAGTCTATGACTGATGGAGACGATAGAGTCCCGGAAAGGTCAAGTGTCCCCCCCTACCCGATACCTTGGCTTTATAGCCAGGGAGAACTAAATGATTAAATGATTAAAATTTGAAATAACGGCAAGGGCCACTTGGGGATTTTGCTCCCAAGTGGCCCTACATCTCCAACAGTCCTGGAACTGCCTTCCCCACAATGTAGCAGATGTCAAGATGCATACCACAGATTACAGCAAGAGATAACAACTGTACTGAATGCTTACTGTGGCAAATTTTTAAAGCACTTTAAATGTATTAACTAATCTGCACAACCACTCTGAGATAGTACACACACTACTCAAAGCCAGGGCCTCATGCATGCCCTGGACCACTGGGCTACATACATTTGCATCCAATATCCTCAATTAAAAATCTTTTTTTGGGGGGGGGGCACAGTGCTGAAGTCAAACCTAGGACTTCATGCATGCTATGGAAGCATTCCACCAGAGCTACATCACCAGTTAGTAAATGCTTTAAAATTTTTTTTAGTTTGTATATGGAGACGTTATTTATTTTTATGTGGTGCTGAGTATTGAAAGAACCCAGTGCCTCACATGTGCCAGGCAAGCGCTCTTCCACTGAGCCCCAGTAAATGCAGTTTTTAACCAGGGTGTCCCTATGTTGCTCAGCCTTCCAAAGTGGCTGGGGTTACAGGTGCACACACCTGTTTCCCATGTCTCCTGTTTTTGGGGGTGGCAGGGTTGGTGGTACTGGGGATTGAATTCAAATGCATTATTGCTGAGCCACATCCCTAGTCCTTTTTTTTCCTTTTTTTTTCCCAGAGAAGGTCTCACTAAATTGCTGAGGGTGGCCTCAAACCTGGATACCCCTGCCTCGGCCTCCTGAGTCACTGGTATTACAGGCATGCACCACTGTGCCCATGCATTATCCATTATTTTAAAGATAAGTATATGGATAGAAAAAGGGGTAAAGCATGATATAGACCACAGCACTGTAATCTCAGGCCAATGTGCTCCTAAACCTTCTCGTTGTTGGTTTTATTCAGAGTAGAGCTCACTTTGCTATCTGTTCACTCAGGGTATTCCACCAAAGTTCTGAAAACTGCCTCATTTCTGCATTCTTTATATCCTTCCAAAGAAAAAGGGTCTCTGGGGCCCAGGATGTTGCTCAGTGGATTGCCAAGCATGCACAAGGCCCCAAGATGATCCCCAGCACTGCAACAGAAAGAGATAAAGAAAAAAGATCTTTGAATTTTAATTCAAGGAACATTCACTTGCCTATCCTGTGTTTTGCTCCAAGGACAAATATCAAAGCAAAACCAGCCATTGCTTTTAGAGATCTCAAAAGGACACCTGATTATAATGGTGGTGGAGAGGGGATAGGCCTCAGAGCCAAGTGCAGCCTTCTGATCCCAATCACACATGTTGAGTAATTATTATATAAGCCTTAACTGAAATTCTGTCAAGTGTTGTTTTCTTACTTTTGGGTCAGTAAGAACCTCTGAATCTAAGAGGTGCTTTCTGTTACCACTTAGGGGATTTTAAATAATAACAATTAAAGTTTTATGAAAAAGTAAGATGCTAGCCAGTATTTAAAGGTATTGCAGCAAATTTATTCTTTCAGAGCAAAAGACTAGAAACTGCTTTTCTCAATTGCCAACTCTGATCAAGGGAAAATTTTGTCTTCAACAATCCATATATCTCTATCCTCATATGCATTTCATCCTTACATAAACACTGGCCAAGTACAGGCAGCAAATACTAAAGTACTGCCACACATTAAGTAGAAACATGTACACCAAATTCTACTATGCGTATTAATAAATATTCTTTATTTTAAATTTTGCACATCGCGCTTTAACATTACATCCAAACATTTCGCAAGTGGATGTCTACTTTGTAAAACCATATATTCAGCTCATTGTCATTTCTGTACAGAAGTATAAGTACAACATTACTTTTTGCCACTAAGTTGCTTTAGTAAGTCTCACAGGAAGAGAAACATTTAATGAAAAGAGATGGCTTAAATCATATGGCAGGCCTGCGCAGCCACAAAACTAAGGACACAAGCCTGAAGAAAGAACAAACTAATGAAGTTACCTCCACCGTCTCCCAAAACAAGAAAGAATCACATTGATTTAAGATAAAATTTTGCCATAAGTCACTAAATTAAGTTTTTTTGAAAGAGAAGGCGCAGTAGTCATCTTGAGTGTTTCATTGAAAGACAGAGCTATTTTATTTATTTAATTTGCTCCAGCCGTTGTCAACCAGCCACTACAAATGGGCCTCTTGTGGTCATTTAAGCGGCAGTATTTGTTAAATTTCTCCTTCAGATGCTGTCGGTATTGTTCTCTATTGCTGTAGAAAGACTGATTATTAGCCATAAATGACTGTATTTCGTCTTGTGAGATAAAGATTTCCTCATCTGAAGTACATTCAGACTCATCCTGCAAATTAAAGCAGTAGTTAAGATGATGACTTTAAGAATGCAAAATGCTATGCTGACAGACTAGAAGGACAGCTAAAAATTAAAGCTTTTTAGTTTCAGTTCAGTCACACTAAGTCTTTAGTTGGAGTGTTTACAGAATAAGCATCATATCCTTCTGTCTTAGAAAGTAATAAGTGAGAATAAAATCTATCTATTTAGAATAAAATCTAAGTTCTATTTGGTTTGAAACCCCAAATCTACAATTTATCCTAAATGTCTCTGAGTCCATCAGAGTATTACCATAGGGTTTACCTTTGAAAAAAATGATTAATTAGAGATGGTGGCAACAACTAGTTAAGCAAATCTGAACCAAAATTGCCATGCATGTGGGACCCTCTCACTGCCTCCACCCCCATCACTTATAGATCTGGTATAATTAAAGTCTCAGGAGTTGATGTCAATTATAAAGAGTTTTCCCAAGCTCAGTTCTGCTTTTATATCACATGACACCTAAAGGAAGTAAACTAGAATGCAAGCTCTAGTTCAGATTCTATATTTTCTTTTCTGATCTAGAAAGGTAGCTACTAAAAATTACCATTCAGGTGGAATTTGCTTATAGAACTCTTTACGGAGGCAGTTCCTAGATTAAATGCTACCTCTATCCCGTTCTCCCAAGTAGTCTCTTCTAACTTTGAGATGAAGAAGAGAGCGTGCTCTACAGCAGTTATGTAAAACACCAATGGGAGAAATAGTCACAAAATAATGGAATATTACCCTACGTTTTTTAAAAAGTGTCTCTCTATGCCCCACCTGAAACCCTGAAATACTATCCCCTTATCCACAATAAGGCATAATGTACTACTTACAAGGAGTTCAACTAAGCTCTTGGCACCTTTTCCGGAATCAGGACCAAACAACATTTCTGTGGGTTCTGCAAACTGTGGTACATTTTTCCTATGCTCAAACCAAGGCAGTGGCTGCCCACCCTTTTCAGCACTGCAACAGCTTTCAGGATGTGCATCTTTGGTCTTGTCGCGGTGAAACACTGTGTGCACGGTATTTCCTGAGGTCTCTCGATTACCTGGATCTGTAATACAGCTTCCAAGCTTTTGGATCTGAAACCACAACAAAAGATTTCCCAAGTAAAAAGGCAGAGAATAGAGGCTAGGGTTGTGGCTCAGTGGTAGAGTACTTGCCTAGCACACGTGAGGCACTGGGGGTTCGATCCTCAGAACCACATTAAAAAAAAAAAAAAAAAAAAAAATAAAGATATTATGTCCACCTACAACTCAAAAAATCGAACCCAGGGCCTCGCATATGCTAGACAAGCACTCTACTGCTGAGCTACAACCCCAGTCCCAGTGTTAAATCTTTAGAAGGAAAACTCAGTAACAGCAACAGCTGCCAATTACTAAATACAACATATCTTAGATGCTATGCTAATCTGCCATATAATCTCATTTCCTCTTCATAAACCCTAGAATGATAGAAAATAGAAACTATTACCCAATTTTACAAATTGGAAAAAAAATAAACAAAATAAAAAAAAATAAACATAGCTAATAAGTGAAAAACTTTTATGAAGAGAATAAACTAGATTTATAATTTGTAGACTTGTGGACAAATACCCTCATCCCCCGCTTGGCCCATACCCTTTCATACACACACAGACAACCACAAGATGAGCAACCAATGGAAGTGCATGAAATACTCATTCTTAAAAAAAACATACAACTCTATACTCAGCCATAAAGAAAAATGAAATTATGGCATTTGCCAGTAAATGGAAGGAATTGAAGATTATCGTGCTAAGTGAAATAAGCCAATCCCAAAAACCAAAGGCTGAATGTTCTCTCTGATAATATGGATGCTAACACACAATAAGGAGGGAAGTAGAGAAGAACAGAAGTTCTTTGGATTAGACAAAAAGGAATAAAGGGAAGGGGAATAGGAAAAAGCAAAATGAATCAGACATATATGAAAACACCACCAGTGAAACTCCATATCATGTACAACCACAAGAATGGGAAGTTATACTTCATATATGTATAACATGTCAAAATACATTCTACTGTCATATATAACTAAACAAAAAAAAAAATTAAAAAAATTTTAAAAGCAACAAAAACAAAACAAATCCTAGCAGCTATGGTGTACATTCACTTCAAGGAAAATAGATCATTCAACAGCAAAGGTTTAAATTGCAATTTATGACACTTACATGTTCATCACATTTCAACAACTTGCTTTTCTTTTTCTTCTTTTTATTTTTTCCTTTTGTGTTGTTCTCTTCGGAATTTGCCCAACA